AAGAGGCTGCACCGCGTTGGCGCCGTAGGGGTGGACCATGCCGCCGCCGGGCTCCACGGGCACCGGATGGCCCTGGAGGGGATCGTCACCTTTTGCCTTGGCGGCACACCGCCGCCCGACAAGGTCCTTTGGCCCGCGCCGCCCCCTTGCCGCCGCCCCTTGCAGCCCCCCCCCCCCCTGTCCCCCCCCGCGTCTGTTCCCCCTCGCCCGCTCCCCCGCTCCTGCGTTGGCCCCACCCGACCGACGGCTGGCTCCGAGAAGGCTCCGACCAGGCTCCAAGATGGCTCCCAGAAGCTCACCCTCGTCGTCGCCGCCGCCGCCGCCAGGTCCTCTCGCTTGCCGTCCAGGTCCTGCTCTGCGCCGCAATGCAGTACGCGACCTTGCGGCTCCACCCGCGCTTGCTCGCCGCTTGCTGCCTCTTCCTCGCCGTCCGGAACGGGCCGTGGCCGTCCAACCACTGGGAGGAGATGCCCGCCGCGGCGGCCGCCGGCTATAGTCGCGAGACAATCGTCGGGTACGTGCACTCCACGTTTGGCTTCCTGCACGGCCAGGAGGTCCAGTGCGCGGCCCTCGTCGAGGAGGAGTTCTCGACGACCCTCGAGGTGCTCTCGTGATGTCTGGCACAGCGAATATATTGTAAGGTCTAGTGAAGAAAGACTAGTCAACGACTAGTTGCAACAGTCTGTGTGCAGAATGGTCGGAAAACCGACCAAAAACGCTGTCGGTGTCGCGGCCAGCTCGGCAGGGACGGCGCCCGCGATCTACTCCAAAATGGTAAAAAATATGTAAAAAAACTCGACCCCGGTAGACGAGGAGGACGGAGGCGAGGGAAGAGGCAGCGCCACAGTCGACGGAGGCGACAACGATGGAGAAGGGGAGGGAACGACAACGCGCACAGAGGATGAGGATATAAACTGGGACGACGCAGCGGAGGGGATAGACGAGGGAATCGAGGGACCGGAGGGCTTTCGCGACAGCGACGATGACGACGAAGGCAGGGGAGGAGACGGAGGGGCGACATGCAGGAGGAGCGAAATCGCGACGGCCCGAGCAGAGAGGGCGACGGCGGAGCACGAGGGGGCAACGGAAACGCTACCATGCAATGACGCGAACCGAGGCACGGGCGACGGCGGGGACGGGGAGGGCGACAGCGACGTCGAGGTTGACGCAACGGTATCGAGAGCGCCACCCAAAAGGAGGCGGACAGCCATGGAGGTCACCGAATGGAGGGCGAACGGCACGATACGAAAAGGCAGGGCGAGGCGGATGGAGAAAGAAGTGCCGAGGAGGCCATGGTGGAGGGGAGGGACGGGAGGACGAAAGAAGGGCGAGGAGGACGAGCGGCCCGCACAGGTCGCGAGCAGACAGCGCCTGCTGGCCATTTCGAGACATTCGCAAAGAACGCTAGCTACATGGGAGGGCTTCGTCAAGGATGGATTGAAAAACATTCGAACAAAGAAGAGGCGACGGGAGGAACCGGCAGAGGATGCATGCAGTGACGTGACACACACACACACACACACACACACACACACACACACACACACACACACACACACACACACACACACACACACACACACACACACACACACACACACACACACACACACACACACACACACACACACACACACACACACACCGCTCACCCACGCGCACCGGGTCTTGCACTTTGAATGCCGTGGGGCTCCTGTCGTTAGACGTGGAGACGCGAGGGTTGCCCCCCCTTGCCCCACCACCTCGTGTGTGTGGAGAAGTTTACCTACCTTACCTTACCTTACTCTAACCTCTAAGGTGTAGGGAGCGCGTGTGCGTGCGTGCGCGCGCGTGCGTGCGTGCGTGCGTGCGCGTGCGTGCGTGCGTGCGCTGCCAATGGCCGCCTCCATGACACCTCCACCACCTGGGGGCTGGCCCGGGAGTTTTTCGCGAGTTTCTCCCTCCCGACACGCCCATCGAAAAGCAAAGTCCGGCGCGATGGGCACTGCTCTAGCCCCTGCTCGCCCCATAGCTCGCCCCTGCCGCGCACCCGTGCGCCCGCGTCGCTGCGCGACTACGAACTGCACGACCTGCGACCTGGGCTCGAACCAACGACCAAAACGCCCCCGACCCGAACGCTGCACGGACTCCTCTCTGTCAGATTTCGTCACGGCACTGGTCACCGCACACAGGCGCCGCCTCGTCGCACACGCGCCGGCACGGCCATGCCTTGCCCTCCCACTCAGGCCCTCCACCCCGCGCAACGGCGCGGTGCGCCGCCGCCCCGCCGGCGCGCACGCCCGCCGCGAAGCGCTCGCATGCCTGCAGGTGCGCTCTCGCGCTCGCCGCGTCTGTGCGCTCGCCATCAAAAAAGTTGGTCCAGAAGAGGCTGCCGCACTCCTTGAGCAAAAAGCCGTATAGCATGCAGTCGGTCAGCAAGAGGTCGACGGCCGCCTCCGCCGCCCAGCCCGCCGCTTCCCACCCGCCCGCCGCGAGGTAGCCCTCCACAAAGGCGCGCGCAGCCGCCGCCTCGGATTCGCCCGTCACGAAGCTGGGCACCTGCGGTGATTAGCCCCCCATACATTCGCCCCGCTTAGTAGCCTGGCGTCGGTTATGGGTGTTAGCTCCTTTCGTAGAGCTACTACTAACAAGGGCCTCTTCATGCGGGCGCTGCGCGCCTCAGAGTTGACAACAAAGGCAAGGTCATAGATCGCGCTGCAGACGCAGCTGTTCTCAAAGTCGACGACGAGGCCAGACTGCAACACGTTGCCCGGGTGGACATCGCCGTGCGTTGTCACGACGCGCCGCGCCGCCGGGTGCTCCGGCGCGAGCGCGCCGGAAAGTTGCGCCCAGTCGATAAAGAGCTGTTCGTCCTACGCGGCTAGGAGGCGCCTGTCGCTCGGGTGGTGAGGCTGGCACGCCAGAAAGGCCGCGGGCCTGTGCAAAGGCGGCGAGCGCGCGGCCAATCGCCACGTCCTCTGGATCGCCCGATTCGGCGAGCTCATCGGCGGAGGCCTGTGGCACACGCCATGGATGATAGGACGAGCCATTGGGCTGCGACAGACATGCTCTCGCACCTCCCATAGGCCCCACGCAAGACCCACCCAGGCATGGCTCCCCGCCGTCACGCGCCCAAGCAGCGGCCACCGCCGTACCGCCTCGGCGCGGCTGGCATCGAACCACTCTGTCGGCACCGCATGCATCCTAGCGAGCAGCCGGCCCATAGCAGCGTATTCCTCTCTCGAGGTCCAAGGCAAGGACCGCGAGCCGCCCCACTCCTCCACCCACCACCCGCCACCATTGGGGCCATCGCCCTCAGCAATGGGCCGTGGGCCGAGGCCGGCGCCGGCGAACGCCCTCGCTGCAGCTTGCATTCGGCGTGTGAAGAAGCAGTCGCGCTCATCAGGCGGGGTCAGCCGGAGGGCCACAGTCGTGCCGCCCGCACAGACCCGGTAGGTCTTGCCGGAGCCATTTTCGCTCACCTCGGCCACGTCGGCCGCTCCTGGCGGGAGTTGAAGGGCGCCACGCACCAAGGAGGCGAGCTCGCCCCCGTTCATGTCGGCCGTAAAAGACTTCTGTCCGTGTTCGCGGCGCGCCCATGCTGCGTCTCGACCTGGTAATCAAGTGGGTGGATACAAAGACATTTCAATTGCTCGTCGTCGAGATGCTCGGTTTTTGGAAGCCCTCGGGCCTCGCCACAAGTCTCTCTGGCTCTGCGTTCGGCCCCGGGCGTCGCGCCGTGGCGGCGCCAGCAGGTGGGCTCCAGCGCCGCCCCGCGCGCGCGCACGCGCGGCGGCGACGCCTCCGCACCACCCCTGCCGCCGCCCGGCCGAGCGAGGAGCAGGAAGACGAGCAGAGACATGCTGTCTATAAACAGAGCAATTTTTCTTCTTTTGACGGCGCGTTGAAGAACACCGAGCAGGTAGGCGCTGGGACGCCGGCTGCTGGCTCGTATCTCGCTACCATGAGCGACTCCCTCTGCCTCCACCTTCGCCTCGAGATCCCCGAGTTCACCAAGGTCGGCCTCCGCGTCGACCGCAAGAACCGCGTCATCTCGGTCGCCTCTGGCTCTCCCGCGGCGCTGGCTGGCCTCATGCCAAACGACCTGATCGAGCAGGTGGAGGGGCTCTCGCTCACGGCGGAGCGCGGCGTGCAGGCGGCCCTCGCCGACCGCACCACATCGGCGCCGCTCCTGCGCGTGCGGCGCGGCGGAGGAGGCCGCCGCGCCAAGCCGTCGCGCCGCCGGCCGTCCGACGAGCAGCCGGCGAGCGAGGCCGAGGCGGGCGAGGAGGGGAACGGCGAGGGCGGCTTCGAGACGCTGCTCCTGAGCCTGAGCCTCAAGGCGGGCGAGCGGGCGGGCATGCGCGTCGACGCCAACGAGGTGCTCACAGTGGCACCGGACACGCCCGCCGCCATGGCCGGCCTCCGTGCTGGGGATGTGGTGGCGGAGGTGGACGGCGTCGCGGTGGGCGAGGGAGGGGCGACGACGCTGCTGCACGCGCTCTCCGACCGGTCGAGGCCCTCCCGCAGTCTCACCGTCGTGCGGCGCCGCGCCGCCTCCTCCAAGTCCGCGTCGCCCGCCACGGAGGACAAGGCAGAGGGCGGGCTCGAGGAGGCGCGCTGCAAACACACATGCCGAGCTGCTGTCTGAGACTACGGGGCTGCTGGACACACTGGCGGCGAGGCGTCCGTGGGTGGCTCGCTGTAGGAGCTGCTCTGCGTCGAGCTGTCGAGGGACGGTGCGGGCTCGCTCGGCATCAAGGCGCTCCAGAGGGTGGACAGATCGTTCTGCTTCAAACAGTTTCATGACTACAATGAGTCATCACTGAACTACAGGCGCTCCGGAGGGTGGACAGATCGTCCTGCTTCAACAGTCATGACTTCTACGATGAGTCTTCACTGAACTACAGGCGCTCAAGGGCGGACAGATCGTCTCCGTGATGCCGGGGGGCGCCGCCGCCTCCGCCGGCCTCGCCGCAGGCCTCACAGCCCTAGCGGCGTCAGATGTCCATGATTGATAATTAATAGTGACCCTCCCGCCGGCAGAGTCAGCCCTAGTAGCGCTATATAGTCAGTCAGCAACGAGTCCGTTTAGCGACAGCCGGGGATGGTGGTGAGGAGGTGAGGAGGTGAGGAGATGCGCCGAGATGCGCCGAGATGCGCCGAGATGCGCCGAGATGCGCCGAGATTATTCGACGACATCCTCCAGGTGGACGGGGAGGAGGTGGTTGGCTCGAGCAGCGGCATCTTCTCGCTCCTGCCGCCGAGCAAGGAAGATGACTTCTCCGCCGCCCGTGATGCGTGTCGGAGGGAGTGTGGCAGATCATAATTAATAACTAACACGTGCCTGCGGCAGGCGGACTTCTCGCTGCTCGTGATATTAATTAGCTCATCATAATTAATAATTCACAAGTGCCTGCGGCAGGCGGACTTCTCGCTGCTCGTGCGCCGGAGGGGCGCGGCCGGGGGCGGCGCCACATCAGGCGGCACGCGGCCTCTCCTCGGGGAGCGGCAGCCATAGTTATTAAGCACTGGTTGGTTGGTATTGGTCGATCAGGCCGCACGGACGGCGATTCGGTGCAGCAGTTCCTGGGCGAGTACATGAGCGACGTCTTGGCGTCGCTCAGCCGCTCGCAGGACCCTTCATTAGCCCTTCATTAGCCCTTTAATTAAGGTTAGTTAAGCGTCGCTCAGCCGCTCGCAGGTCCGACCGAGCTCGAGATCGCTCGAGATCGCTCGAGATCGCTATCGTTCGCTCGAGATCGCTCGAGATCGCCATCGCTCGAGATCGCTCGAGATCACACCCGAGATCCGCTCGAGATCCGCTCGAGATCCGCCCGAGATCCGCTCGAGATCGCTCATCCACCCGAGATCACCCGAGATTACCCGAGATCGATCTCGAGATCACGCCTCCAAGCCCCCCCCCCCCACACACACAGGACGAGTCTGCGCTGGCGAGCCACGAGGAGAGCGGGCGGGCTCGCGCGGCGGCGGCGGCGGCGGCGGCGGGCCGGGCTGCCTTCGAGGCGTCTCCGCTGTCGGAGTTGGTGGGTGAGGCGTTGGAGGAGGGGGAGGTGCCTGTCTCTACGCGCGGCGTGGTGCTGACTGCGCCTCCCACCGTGGAGGCGAAGGGAGAAAGGGGGACAGAGGGGGAGGGGGGGAGGGGGAGGGAGAGGGAGGGAGGGAGGGAGGCAGGGAGGGGGAGGTAGAGGGGGAAGGAGGCAGGGTCAGAGAGGGAGAAGGAGATAGAGATGGAAAGGGGGGGGGGGGGCGTTAGAAATGCCGGGAGAGTGACTGCGAGCTCGTGTTGAAGCGATGCGTGGACAGACTGAGTCACAGGTTGGTGGTCGCCACCCCTCCTGATGTTATTGAAGAGCGATGAGCCCGCCCTTCGGGTCT